AGACCCAAATTAAATCAGTATTTCTTCAAAATTGCGTCTAAAGACCAACATAAAATATTTTACTCCTCTCTTACAAACATTTCAAAATCAATTCACTTTGAAATTTATTCCACACCTATTATTATACCCAAAATATTTTGTTTTTGCTAGTTAAATCTTCTTCGATCATTCTCTCTTTTGAGGGCCTTAGAATGCTGGTAAAAATTACTACTGCAAAATAAGCTACCATAAATTCAGGCAGTGGGAGGGTTATTTACTGATTCGCAAAATTCATATGAAAGGAAAATAAAATAATCTTTTCTATCTTTTGTCCCATCCTCCAGCCACAGTCCTACTTGGTGTTATGTGCCATTCAACTCTCAAACATTGTCAGCCCCATGAGATTTAACATCTGGACTTGGTTTAAACTGATGCCATCTCCTTGTGTGAAAATGCCCATTCTCTCCTGTTAATATCCTTCCTGCATGATTTTCCAGTCTTAACAAAATATTTATTTTGGTCAGACAAATGGCAGGAAGCTAGAATGCCAAACTATATGCCAGGTGTGTTTTTAAAAGGAAGTTCTACACAATATCTGGAAAGCGGGAGACATTTTCAAACCTAGACAGTGGGCTGGTATGAAATGGAAAATGATTCTAGCTTTTCAGAAACTCCTCTCCCTATCAAGCCTCCTTCCCCAATTTGCTCATCATCCCTTTTTCCAGCTAGAAGTAAAAGGCTGCATTCACACAGCATGCTTACCTATAATGTAGTTGGCTCTGATTTTGATCAGTTGTGGGACATATATCCAGTATGATTAGTTTATGTTTAATTGAGTTTGTGATTGATGCAGTATATAATTGAGTTACCCATGCATATTATGTTTTCTGTGAAATGTAAACATAGCCAAAAGCGTCAGTGTGTCCCCAGTGAGTGAGAAAATATCTAGCAGAAAGAGGGTTCAATTTAACTCACTTAATATGATACACTATTCTAAGCCTGAGTCCAAACAAGAGAATGGAGTGGCATTACTACTCATTGATTAAAGATATGCTTGGCTATAACTTATTCGCAATCGTAACAATTAAAATTAATGAGAGCCTAATATTCAGCAGTGTGATACAATTATATGTACCTAGTATAGAAAAAGACATTGAGGAATTTTATGGCAAATAGAAAAAGACATTGAGGAATTTTATGGCAAACTGCTAGATATGCTAGAAGCAACTTTGAGAAAGGAATACTACTAATGAACAAAAACAGAAATTTGTATGAAATGAAGGAATCTGGAATCACAGGACATGAACCAGAGGAATAATTCAAGGAACAAGATAATAATGTTTGATGGAGAGAATTCTCTATGAATTACTGATATTAGTTTCAAACATCAAAAACACAGGTTTTGCATATGGATATCACTTGAGAGATAACATTGAAATCAAATGAGGCTATAATAAGAAACAGGAAATGGTGAAATGCATTTCAATCTTCCAGTACATGAACACAAAAAGTATTACCATAGAATAAAATCCGTGAAAGATTAAAGAGAATAGTAGGATATGAGTATATAATGTAGATGTTCAATGGATCACACACGTAGTATGTTTAATTTATGGATCAAGAACAAATAAGTAATGAAAGAGTTGTGGGGAAATAAAAAGATTAATCCTAAGGAAGAACACAGTAAGAAAGTTAAATAAAAATAAGGACGACTTAATAAAGATTACAATAGTCTTTCTTTACAGGGATAATGTATGGCTATGGACACTGAAAGGATAAAAGGAAGTGTTGATTGATTAACAACAGATCCCATATCCCCCCCCCCAATCTTTTTAGCTAGGTTGACTTTATGGTATTTATAGTATTGCATTTATAGTTTTAGGGGTGCGGTGACTCAATTGTTAAAGACGCTGAGCTTGTCAGCTAGAAAGCTGACAGCCCAGGTTCCTGACCTGACTGCCATGCAATAGGGTGAGGTCCTCTTACTTGCCCCAGCTCCTTCCCACTTAGAAGTTCAAAAGCAAGCAAATGCAAGTAGATAAATTGATAGCACGTCAGTGGGAAGACAACGGTGTTCCGTGCGTCTCGGCATAAAGTCATGCTGGCCACACGACCATGGAAATTGTCGTCAGACAATGCTGGCTCCCTCGGCCAAGAAACAAAGATGAGCACTGCCCCCTAGAGTCGGACATGACTGGATAGGGGAAATATTTATTTATATATAATGATAAATTAAATAGTTTATCTTTTAACATTGTAAGTTGCCCAGAATTACCATGTGGCAAGATGGGCGGCTAATAAATTTTACAATGAATGAATGAATCAATAATGAATGAATGACAAAGAAAGGAAGAAAGAAAAGTAAAATTATAGATTTTGAGATGGTCATTAAGAACACGATGCACCAGAATAACTATAAGTCCTGAGCAAATAAAAGCTGATGCTTGATGAAGCAGAAACTCACATAAATCTAGTTCCAAGGCTGAAGAAAATAGAAGACAATGGACGGCATTGATGGATTAAATTAAATTAACTGGAAAGTCATTGGAAGTCTTAAGTAATGATCAAGCAACTGGCAATTGTATACATACAATTAGGAGTTGAGCTTCACCTGATGGCGCCCAACCATCCCAAGCTACCATTTCTTAACTTAAAAGTGTCCATTCCATGACTTAGATACTGCCATTTCATCTAATTTTCCCTGCAAATTCTATAATCCAACAGACATAGTATTACACCTAGCTCTCCTGTTGAAGATTAAGTTCAGGTTAACTCTTGATTTTACCTATAAGATACTGATGTTCATCAAGGAAATCCAGTGCACACTAGCACAACATACAAGGATCTTCTTCATTTTCAGCAGTAATTTTTAGGTATGGCACTTCCGGAAAAGATGTGGTCTGATGCAGTGGGTAGACTCAGAGACTAGGAACTATCACAGGAAATGCCATATCAGGAATCTGACAGCCCCCTTTCCAATTCTGATTTCTGCTGAAATACACTAAAACAGAACTGGTACAAGGCAATATCAGATTGCACTCAATACAAATGACGGCTTCCCATTTTTATCAATCTTTCCTCATCCCCTCATGCATCTTCCAATTTACAGGCATGTCATCTGCAGGATGGTAAAGATGGAGGCGAGCAGGTGACCACTGGAGCTACGCAGGTGTTTTTATTTCCTTTGGCGGGTGTAGAAGTCCGAATGTACTACCGTATTCACTTGAATCCTTTAAAGCAGCTTCATTTTGCGAGGGATCTTTGCAGGCGCTCTCATCACCGGTCGGCACCGAGGGTTTTGTTCAATTCCCCTTTAAAGCTGTCTAAATTGCTAGAGTGGCTACTATCATCCACAGCAGGGGTGGGCAACTGTGGCCTTTTTACAACCTGTGGACTTCAACTCCCAGAATTCCTGAGACAGCCAAGGTGGCTCAGGAATTCTGGGAGTTGAAGTCCACAGGTTGTAAAAGGGCCACAGTTGCCCATCCCTGATCCACAGGTATCTGCAGGAGGGGCAAACGACGACCCGTGGCTCCTGTTGCAAAAGATGCAGAGTTTATACGAGACCTCAAGATACATGCACACCTTGACACTGTTATAGCTGGCTACAGATACCAATGCTCTTACCATTCGGTAGTAATAAATTCAATTATACAATAACATGTACTCGAAGAAGGATTTCAGTTCATCTGTCTGTTGAGCCCCTCTATTGGAAAGCAACCCTATAGAATCAGGTGGGGCTGACTTACGGGAGGGAGGGGCAGGTGCAAAGAGCCAAAGAAAAGCCGAGTGAGAACAGGTCGAATTCTGTGACGTCACAATGGCACCGCCCCCTCCCCCCACGCAGCGGGATAGTTTCGTGCGAAATACGTCATACAGGCGATTAGTTACAGGGTCACGTGCGCGACATATCACGTGACAAGGATTGCCCGTTCTCGCTTTTATTTTTATTTCCCCCCCCCACCAAATATCATGAAATCGTAGAAGTACGAAAAGTAAAAAAAATCATAGTATTATCCTGTACTACGGCACGTCCATTTAAGGAACCCCTTGGGAAGTTTATATAAATGTTTATAAAACATTTCTTCCCACTTCAGATTCAGCCTCGTTTCTGCATACCAATGGCAATTTGCAGAAATGTTTGTACGACGCTATTGGGCAACCAAGTGCCATCTTCCGCCAATTATATATTTCAGTGTGGATAATGTTGCGAAACCAGATTTTTTTAAAAAAAAAGACGGGTTTTTTTAAAAAAAATTCTAGAAAAAGTCACTTCTCAATCACATGTTGCGGGGAGGCAAAGGCAGGTTGTCATCATGAAGGGGATTAGGGCAATCTCACACTCCTCCTCCTCCTCCAGATTCGTATTACTTGTTAAAAATGCCGCTGTAGTCTTTAGAAGAAAAAAAAATATCAGCATTTTCAGGTTTCATCAATATTCCATCGTTGGCTTAAATTGAGCCGTCCGTCTATCCAGGCTGCATAATATTGATTTTTTTTTAAAAAAGTTTTTATTAGAAAGTACAAACAAACAAACAACAATAAAACATACGAATACAAACAAGTAAACAAAAATCAGCTATCCATTCTCTTTTCAAACTTGTCGCATCGGTAATCTATATTCTTGTTTATACCTTTACTATTTCTTATTTTAACCTATCTCTTATATCTATATTCCTAATACATCATTTCTATATATTCCCTTAATCAACATTTTTAATTCACTATTGACAATATTCACAATATTGATTTTTTTTTTAACATTTTACATCTCAAGTCGAAAAATTTTCAGTGGGGACCACCGCTTTCCACTCCTACTCCCCGCGAAATAGAAAAAAGCTTCTTTTTCGATACTACTTGACAGATATACTGCTGTATAATGACATATGTCGCACGTTTTTCTGATTATTTTCCCCGCTTCTCTAAGCCTAAAAAAGAAGGAAGAAAAAAAAAGGCGGTCAAAGGAGCCCGGAAATAAAAAGCCATCGAGAGTTTATCATGTAGTGTATCTATGGTACGAAGAGAGCAGTTGACCCGGAAGTGGATGAGCGGGGTGGCTGGGGGTCGTGTTTCGGTGTCGAGGGTGGCGGGTCTGTCCTTACTTCAAGATGTCGATCGAAATCGAGTCCTCGGAGTGAGTGTGGTGGGCAAAGGGGCGGGTTTTGCGCTCGGTGCCAGCTTCCTTTGGCCTGTCCCAGGCCTAGTCCCTCCGGACTGGCCGCCCTACAGCTTTTCCCGTTGGTGCGTCGCTTCCCCTGCCGTAACTGCAGTCCAGCGGCGGTGGGGACCACCGGCTTGCTCTTAAATTCATTCCGGGAAATTCCGAAGGCGGCCAAAGCTTCGCGCCTGTTTATTTACTAGTTATTCATAAGGAAGGCAAAACATACCGGGTGGAGGGGGGTGGGGGTGGGGGCTGGAGAAGCGGAGAGAAAGAAATGCGTTTGGCAGCGTCAATGCAGGTAGTCCTCAGTTTACGACCACGACTGAGCCCAAAATGTATGTTGCTAAATGAGAAATTTGTTACGTGAATTTTGCCTCGCTTTACAACTTTTCTTGCTGCATTTGTTAACTGAACAAACTGCAGTTGTTAAATTAGTAACGCCCTTGTTAAGTGAATCTGTTTCCCCCGTTGACTTCGCTTGTCAGGAGGTTGCAAAAGGGGATCGTGTGAACCTGGAACACCGCAACCGTCAGAAATGTGCGTCAGTTGTCAAGCATCCAAAGATAAAACATGTAACCATGGGAATGCTGCAAGCATCATAAATGTGAAAAATGGTCACAACTTAATTTTTTTTGGTGCTGTTGTAACTTCGAACGGTCACTAAGCCAACTGTTGTAAGCCGAGGACTAGCTGTAGAATCAAAAAGGAGCAAAAGCATCTCTTAGTTCACTACACTATTGTGTAGTTTACTGATTGAATTTTTTCTCTCTTTGAAGCAGAAGTGAATATTGGAAAATGCCTTCTAATGAGATAGTATGTATGTTATATGTGTGGGACAGAGAAAGACTGACAAATGGAATAAATATCAGTAATTAATTGTACTAATTGTTTTTTTCAGTGTTATCCGTTTGATCATGCAATATCTGAAGGAGAACAGCCTTCATCGTGCTCTGGCTATATTGCAAGAGGAAACTACAGTGTCTCTGAATACGGTGGACAGCATTGAGAGCTTTGTGGCAGATATTAACAGTGGCCATTGGGATACAGTACTGCAGGCAATACAGTCACTAAAGTTGCCAGACAAAACACTCATTGATCTGTATGAACAGGTCAGCAAGCTCTGCAATAATATTTTGATGTATTTTTATTTATTGGTATATTTTTAATTGTTAGAAAATGAATTGGTATTTTGTAACTCTGCAGAATATTAATCTTTCACTTTTGAATAGGCAAATGATAATACATGTATGATGTATCATATGTATGATCACGCAGATAACACAGTTTAATATTTGTGCCAGATATCACAGCGTCATCACATAACTATTTATGCCATGGTGTCATGCACATATCATTTGATATATCATGGCATGTTATGGTTGCTGCTGTGTCTGAAAATTAAACCATCCCCATTTAGTATAAAACTATATTAGCTCTGGATGCAATCTGATTTTCCCCCCAGTTTTTACAATGTGTCAATTATTTTTTAAAGATTTTTTTTTCAAGAATATAAGCTTTGTATTGCTTCTGCAATATAATATTGGTATCACGTAACAGTTTTAAAGACAGTGCATTTTATATACACCCACCTGTTCATATTTGACTTTTTTTTTCATTAAAAAAATAAGAATTTTCAAGACTTATGATCTGCACTCTTTCAGTTTTGAAACTTGAATCAAATTTTGCTAACATTGACCAAAGTTTTCAGCAGTGTAATTCCATTTAATTCCACCGGTAATTCCACTGGTTTGAACAAAACTCAGCAGCACTTTTTCGTGTGGCTGTTCATAAAAATAGGATTACTAACATGATCGCCAACGTCTGATGATGGATATGTCACAAGAAGAAGAAAAAGAAATTCCATTTAAACTGAATTTACAAGTCACATAATTGTAATACTTTGGTGCATTAATACATTTTTGTATGACTAATAATTCTTTTTCTGTTGATATTTCAGGTTGTTCTGGAACTGATAGAACTTCGTGAATTGGGTGCTGCTAGATCTCTTCTGAGACAGACTGATCCAATGATCATGTTAAAGCAAACCCAACCAGAGCGATATATTCATCTTGAGAACCTTTTGGCTAGGTCCTATTTTGACCCACGTGAGGTAAAATTATGTTAGCTCATAGTTACTTTAATATTTTTCTCATTTACAGTTTGTAATATATAAAATATCTCATTTAATCATTTCTGCATAGTGGAAGATCTAGCTTGTTTACTAATTTCTGCATTTCACAATGATATAATTAGAATTTACAATTTTAAAAAACTTTTATAGCTAATGATATCTCTTCTTGCACAGATACATTTTGTTGTTTAATGCAAAGCAAATTATGTAAGCTATCTCAGTTGTAAAGTTATTGTTAGTTAATTATGTAATTCAATTTGTAATACCATTGCATGTTTGATGAGTGTAAAATATGTTTAAACGTACTTAAAACAACTCAGCTCTCTATCCCATTATATCCCCTAGATAGCGAAATGGGCAGCATATAAATGTAATTAATAAAGAAATGATAGATAGATGCTATCTATCAGAAGAAGGAATTAGATATATTTCTAATATTTTTTGGATTGGTTCAGATACCTCCCTGGAACCAGATTTAAGAATTTAAAATTCTCTGTTGGTTTCCGCATTCATTATTTCCTTTTGCCTCACATATTCTCTATAGAATATGTGTTTGTTTGACTAATGTTACCTTAGGTGACATGTTTTTTCTTTGAAAATTCTGATTAAACCTGACCTGTCTAAACAAGTTGAGGTAAATACAAAGATAAAACATGAAAGGAGCCTTGGTAGTACAGTGGACTAAAGCACACTGTTATTAATATCTGCTGCTTGCAATTACTGCAAGTTCAAATCTCACCAGGCTCAAGGTTGACTCAGCCTTCCATCCTTTCAAAGGTAGGTAAAATGAGGACCCAGATTGTGGGGGCAATAAGCTGACTTTGTATAAATATACAACAGTATGAAGGCTATTGCTTAACGCATTGTAAGCCGCCCTGAGTCTCCGGAGAAGGGCCGCATATAAATTAAAGCAAAAAAAAAAAAGAAGAAGAAGAAGAAGAAGATGACTTTATACAGAGGAAAGATGCTGATAATCCATGATCTTGTGCCTTGTCTAAAATTTAGAATTATTTCATGTTAGACATTTGTTTCACTGTCGTAAATAATATTTCTTTGTTACATTTCAGTCTGAGATCTGATCTAGTTTGGGATAGAATCAGTATGCTACCTCTGTCTTTCTTTATATGAGAGTAAGAGAATGCAATTTTGTTGCTCTGGCTTGTTTTTTGAGATAGCTTTTGATATAATCAACAATCTATTCTTCCTTGATTGTCTTTGTGAGTTGGAGGTCCTGTACAATGGAGGTATCTCTCCTATTTGCAGAATGGTTTTACATAACAGACTTTACTTTTAGATCTGGCAGTGGTGTTGTTGGGTACCAAAAGGCACTGCTTTGTCCACAGTTCTATTTAACATTTATATAAAGTTACTGGGACAGTCATAGAGAAGTTTTTTTGGGGTGGAGGAAAATGAGAGGGTTCCCAGTATTCTGACAACAGTTCTATTTCTGTATATTTCTTAATCAACATTGGTTGTGCATTTATTTATTTAACTAATTTATAAAACCACCCATCTGCTAAAAGGAGCTTTCCTTTTCCAAGAATAAAACCCAATATACTGATCAAGCAGCTTGAAAGAAAAGAAGGCCACGGTGAAACCCTAACAATAGGGCCTGCACGGTGTGAACCAATTGCTGGACAGTCAGAATGATAGATTAGAACAGGGCCAATCAGTTAAGATTGAATCTTCACAAATAGGAATCTTGTGGGTCCATGATTTTCAGGTAATAGGAACTGGAAATCTTTGCTGTATTTCTCAAAAAGAACAGGTCTACAGTTAACAACTGTCATTAGAGGCCAAGAAACCACTGTGACTGGGAGCATCTAGTCTATAAACCTTGCCCTTTCCTGGACCAAGTTGAGTGTGATGCTTCATTGTGCACCTGTGGCACCTATGTAGAAGCAGTTGGGCTCAAGGCCCTCATCTTACAGATCCGAGGTGGCGCACAGAGCCAAGGTGGCACAGTGGTTAGAGTGCACTACTGTAGGCTACTTCAGCGGACTGCTAGCTGCAGTTCAGCAGTTCAAATCTCACTGGCTCAAGATTAACTGAGCCTTCCATCCTTCCAAGGTAGGTAAAATGAGGACCCAGATTGTTGGGGGCAATATGCTGACTCTGTAAACTGCTTAGAGAGGGCTGTAAAAGCACTAGGATAGCTATTGCTATCTTTGTAGGTCAGGCTGACTGACAAACTACCGTGAATGCCTAAAATTGTAGAAAATCTCAACTAACTCACAATTTTCTCATTGATGGCACCTGCTTTTCATTGACCTACTGTTACATCTTTGAAGCTCTCTTCATCCAGATGTTGTTTTGATGAATGACAGAAAAATGTTTTTTGTTCCTTCATGTATTTTGCGTTCCCTCTTCCTTGTTACTGTACAAAGTGTATATTTTGTTTCATTGTGTAAATTTTTATTTTATAAGCCAGAATGAATTTCTTCCTTTCATTAAACACACATGATACTAACTTTCTTTTCAAAGTTGGAAATTGCCTTTCCAGAACTTAAATACAGTATTTTTCGGAGTATAAGCTGCACCTTTTTCCCCCCTAAAAGGGGGTGAAAATTTAGATGTGTCTTATACACCGAATGTAACCCTGCCCACCCACTGGCCCCCACCCTTGCAAGCAAACAGCAAGAAAAAACAGCTCCTTTCAGCTTCAGCACAGTGTAATTAGCACAAGTTGATTGCATTGGCCTCCCGACTCTCAGCTGATTTGCTCTCAGCTGTTTTGTGCAGGGCTCTGCTGCTTGCTGCGAAGAGATAAATTGCTGGAGCAGATTTTTTTCCCCCCCTTCTGCTAATCAAGCTATGCTGAAAATGAAAATGAAAGTAAAGCAGGCTCTTTTGATGTTTGCTGCAACAAGGCACAATTGCTCAGAGACAGAGACAGAGGGAGATTTCTTTTTCTTCTTTTCCTCACCAAAAAAGGTAGGTGCGTCTTATACTCTGGTGCATCTTATACTCTGAAAAATACAGTAACTCTTTTGATTTCCAGAATTTGTTTTGTTTTACATGTGCCTTTAGATCAGTCTAATTTATACAAATAAGCAATCAGTGTTTCTTACTTGACTGGATTCAATTCTGCACGCAGTATTCAATGAAGGACAAAAAATAATGTTTCTACATTGGATATGCTCTTCAAAAAAATAATTATTTACTTTTCACATTACATTGTCCAGTTTGTCTGGAACTATATGTTAGAAAGGCTGTCAGCATGATGTTTGGTCATTTGGTCATAAGTATGAGTGATGGTTGAGTTTTATTATGTATTGATATAGAAAATTGCTATTTTGAGGGTAGGTAACATTTGAACTATGAAGACTTTGTTTTCATTTGATATGTCCTCCACTTTCTCTGGCTGAAGCTATCATGCAGCAAAAGTAATGTGCATTTTAACAATACCGGTAAGTAGAAGGTTGGATTAAAGTTTTCTTCTGATTCAAACTAAATAGGGTTGATCTTTCCCAATATAGTTATTTTTAACAAATTTATCCCAACACTCAAAACTGTTGTGGATTTAGAATTGCATATATAATGTGTCAATTTTCAATAAAACATCCAGTTGACAATCTAGACAAGTTATTGGTTTTTGAAAAAGTGGCAGATTTCTCAAAAGGAAGTTACTGCTCTGTATATCTGTGTATCTGAATTAATTTGGCAGCATGTAAATCCAATGACTATTGTTGCATTTCAGGCATACCCAGATGGAAGCAGCAAAGAGAAGCGGAGAGCTGCCATTGCCCAGGCTTTGGCTGGTGAAGTTAGTGTGGTACCTCCATCTCGTCTTATGGCGTTATTAGGACAGGTATTCCCCCCCCCCTCAAGCTTAATTGATGGGTATGAAATGGAAGACTGATTGTTCCTTAAAGCGTAAGATTATGAATCTTTAATACAGTGCTTAGAACTTTTCTTTTAATGTTTAATTGTCCTTTTGTATTAAGTTTCAAAAGTGTTACAATCTGTGTCTGTAATCCTCTTTGGTATCGTAGGCCTTGAAATGGCAGCAGCATCAGGGGCTACTTCCCCCTGGTATGACAATTGACTTGTTCAGAGGAAAAGCAGCTGTCAAAGATGTGGAAGAGGAAAAATTCCCCACGCAGCTGAGTAGACATATTAAGGTGGGTTGTCCTTCACCATGATTTCAGCAACAAGTCTCAGGCCTTTTGGGATTAGGGAATTTTTATTAGATCACATGAAGAATATGCTTAAGGCTTAATATATCTCACTGGCTGGATTTAATATTATTGTATGGCTTATTTTATTTAGCTTGTTAGAGAATCCAACTGTGATTCATTGATCAAACTCTAATATATTTTAGATGACTTCAAAAATTCAATATTTTAAAATAGTCATTTTCCACATGTCATTTTCGTTCTTGTATTTTTAAAAATAAAAGCAAAGTTGATTTTAGTAAGGAATTGGGTGAGAGCCAGATTGGTACAGTCGTTAAGGCGCTTGGCTAGAAACTGGGACTTTCAGCTTAGGCACAAAGCCAGCTGGATGGACTTGAACTATTCCTTCTCTCTCAGCAGTAGGTACTGGTAATCCTCAATTAACGATGGTAATTGGGACCAAAATTTCTGTCGCTAAGCGATAACAGTTGTAAAGCATGACATCACATGACCACATTGCTTAAGCATGACAATCCCATTAGTCCCTGTTGCTATTGATAAGTAAAGACCTCCTGGTAACTTCCTCACAACTTCCAACAAAAGCAGAATGGAAGCTGGCAGGAAGTAGCAAGTCCCAGCTGGCTTGCAAGCGGGCTGGTAGGGAGGTAAGTGATGGTGGGAGGCGCAAGTTGCACATGCTTCAGGTGCAGCATCAAGCCAATGCTTTTTGGATCCAAGAGTAAAGTAAGATCAAGATCCAACTAGTGAGTGATCACCAGGGTATCATTTCCAGGGTTGTAGAGAAGAAAGGCACTGCAAACTACTTTTGTACAGATGCCAAGAGAACTCTCAACAGTGTATCCATGTATCCAATGGGAACTAAGTTTAATTTGAGGATGTGTTTACCTTTCCAATCTAGATTAGTACATATTATTTGTTATATGCTATTTCTTTCTTCCCATGAAATAGTTCGGTCAAAAGTCTCATGTGGAATGTGCTCGATTTTCTCCGGATGGTCAGTATCTGGTCACTGGTTCTGTGGATGGATTTATTGAAGTCTGGAACTTTACTACTGGGAAAATCAGGAAGGTAATTCTATGACTTTTCTTAACTGCCATGTGAATTCCTGAAAACTGTACATCAATTCTTTGGGCACAATAAATGAAGATGAGTTAATATGAACTCTTCTGGATTTCCAGAGGAAATTGGAATGGAATTTAAAATTAGGGTATACAGTGCCGAACCAAATGTTCTATTTGCTTTTTTTTTTTTAAGCAATGCAGTTCAATGCACTTATTATATAGTCCTTTTCAAAATGGAAGCTAATAGAAGATGTTATAAGGTGTAAGATCCATGATCCATATCAAATATTTTCTTCTTTGCTTTATTTTTGCTGTTGGGGGGGTGGGTAGAAAACTTTGGGAGATTAAAATGGGAAATAGAATGGGAATTAATTCTTGTTGGTTACTTTTATATTTCAAAATTAGAAATAAATATGAGTGGAAAAAAATGAGCTTTGGAGAAGATTTGCAAAGAGACAGTAATGTTGATTGTTATTTGTATAAACAATAAGTACAGTGTTGGAAACCCCAAATTTATTGAGTAACAATTAACAACATTTGAGGCACACACTTTGAGTATAGAAGAGCTTAGCCTCAATCCTTGACTTATTCGTTTTCAAAGAATCTTATAGTTTAGATCTAAAATTGCCCTCTGAATTGGAGAGCCACCACCAGTCTGGATTTTAATTGTATGATTCAGCATAGTGTGACTCTGAAATGATTTTGTATACATCCATTCTTCCCAATGCTTGTTTTTATCTTAGTTCTATTAATTTATTTTGTTCACTGCTTTGTTTAGGATCTGAAATACCAGGCACAGGATAATTTTATGATGATGGATGATGCAGTGCTGTGCATGTGTTTCAGCAGAGACACTGAAATGTTAGCAACTGGAGCACAAGATGGAAAAATCAAGGTATGCTGTTAAGGACAGATGGAGGCCCATAGTGGCACCCAAGAACTCCCTTATAAGCCATGTGTCCTGAACTTCTAAGACATGACAGACACACAATACTGGGAGTTTGTCAAGGCTTAACCATCTTCTGAGAATGTGTTCTTGGTCCTTTCTCCATAATTTTCTGTACTGCTTTCTAAGCATTGATTCATGGAGAGAGATTAGAAGTATTTACCTGAAGGTCTGTTGAGATTCTCAGTCATCCAGGTCATGGTTGTCCCAAAGGCGCTTATTTAAGAGGCAACTGCACTTTCTGTTTTTTCTTTGAAGATGTTTCGCTTCTCATCCAAGAACCTTCTTGGTTAAGAAGCTCAGAGCTGAAGAAGCTTCTTGAATGAGAAGCCAAGTGTCTTCAAAGAAAAAACAGAAAGTCCAGTTGTCTCTTGAAAAGGACCTTTGGGATATTTTCCTGAAGGAAAGTAATTCTACTCTTTCTTAGCATCAGGAACAGTTTGCACAGTCTTCAATCATGGTGTATAAAGAAACAGACAAGTAAACTGTTCCTCTCAACCTCCAAGATTGCATAGAAGGAAACAAGTTTATGGCAATGAATCATGCAGAAAAAGAGCAGTTTTCTCTGGGTGCACATTTGGAGTCCAGATTGTTTTGGTTTTTCTTTATGTTTTTCTTGTAGCACACAGCATGGGCTGGCAATTTAATGACTCACTAATCTCAGATATTCAATTAATAAAAGGGCCCAATTTGAGTACAAGTGCCGCAATGGGGCAGTGGTTAGAATGCAGTACTGCAGGCTACTTCTGCTGACTGCCGTCTGCCTGCAATTTGGCAGTTCGAATCTCACCAGGCTCAAGGTTGACTCGGCCTTCTATCCTTCAGAGATTGGTAAAATGAGGACCCAGATTGTTGGGGGCAGTATGTTGACTCTGTAATCCGCTTAGAGAGGGCTGTAAAGCACTGGGAAATGGTATATAAGTCTAAGTGTTTTTGCTATTGCTATCTCGTTCAACATTCTGTTCCAACAATGGCCAATCTGCTGCCATGGAGAAATTATTTTATTCATAAGGACAAGCAGGGTATGTTTTGGGTCTACCTGAGTAAGCCAGGCAATTTGGCAGGAAATGTTACTGTTGTGTGATGGTAACATCAGTTCCTTGGTTTCTCTGAAGGTGTGGAAGATTCAGAGTGGGCAGTGTCTGAGGCGATTTGAAAGAGCCCATAGCAAAGGTGTCACCTGCCTGAGCTTCTCAAAGGATAGCAGTCAGATTCTGAGTGCCGCCTTCGATCAGACAATCAGGTATGTCTCATTTTGCAATACATTTGGCTGCAATACATCTGACTTGGACAAATAACCCTAATGTAGTTTTTATGCTGTAACAGGATTCATGGCCTGAAATCAGGGAAGACACTCAAAGAATTTCGTGGTCATTCCTCATTTGTTAATGAAGCTACATTTACACAAGATGGACATTATATTATTAGTGCATCCTCTGATGGCACTGTGAAGGTACGCTCCCGAGTCCCGATCACTAGGTGTAATTTGCATGATTAGTTAAAATCTTTGCTTGTTGGTTTGGTGTTTTGTTTTTTTAAAAAACATATTCTTAGTACAGGTAGTCCTCGATTTACCACAGTTGAGCCCAAAATTTCTGTTGTTAAGTGAAATATTTGTTACGTGAATTTTTGCCCCATTTTATGACCTTTCTTGCCCCATTTAGGACCTTTCTTGTTAAAATGAATCACAGCAGTTGTTAAATTAGTAACACAGTTATTAAGTGAATCTGGCTTCCCTATTGACTTTGCTTGTCAGAAGGTGGCAGAAGCTGGTCACATGACTCCAAGGCACTGCAAAACGTCGTAAATATGAGTCAGTTGCCAAGCATCTGAATTTTGATCACATGACCATGGGGATACTGCAACAGCTATAAGTATGAAAAATGGTCGTAAGTCATTTTTTTCCGTGCTGTTGTAACTTTGAACAGTCACTAAATGAGCTGTTGTAAATCGAGGACTACTTGTACTGAATACAGAAATACTTACAAATGCTGTTTGGTGCCAGGTCTAGGTAAAATTAAACTAAATGCAATTTCTGTCTCAAATGATTTCTACCTACTGCAGCATTTTCAGACATATCATACCATTTTTTGGGTTTTGGCGACCCCCCCATAGTTTTGAGTTAAATTAGCTTCTGGATGCTCTTTTCAGATCAATCTCTTTTAAGTGACTGATTAGTAGATTTTTTTTCTTTGTTTTTAATATTGGTACAGAACGGGGTGACTTTTTGACTGTACTAAAATCACCTTTGAATGAAATGTTTGTATTAGCACCCATCATAAGAGACTGTGTACAGATGGAGAAAAGGCCTATGTATTATGGGAAATAATGCTGTGGTTAGGGCCATTATATACCCTGCATGAAGACACAGGTGGGGTAGCTTGGGTTTCATTCTAATATGGAATTTGCATATTTTCCCTTTCCCGTTTATTTGTTAGGTTTGGAATATGAAGACTACAGAATGCTGTAACACCTTCAAATCCCTGGGTAGCACTGCTGGAACAGACATCACTGTGAACAGTGTGATTCTCCTGCCTAAAAATCCAGAGCACTTTGTTGTTTGTAACAGATCAAATACAGTTGTCATCATGAACATGCAGGGGCAAGTACGTAATGGGATTGTGTTTTAAACATCTGTGAGAACACAATTGGTGTTCCTTTTGGACTCAGTAACTAGAGTTGACAATGGGAAGTCATTGTTCCCACTTTTTCTGATTTGTAAGACATTTTAAAGTCATGTTTAAATGTTGCATTGGTTGGTTGCGGATGCTGAATTAATCTTTAGGATTCTCAAGTAATCCAAAAGACCCTATTTTATCTTATATTTTTAGCTATTTGGTTAAAGCTTATATTTTCATTTATACACAATTTTAAATTGGTTTGGAAGGTTTTTAGCTTTTGCTTCAATGAATGTAATCAGTTAACAAATGCTAAAGAGATCGTAGAAATTTGTACTGAGAGAAAAATCCTCTTTTTCCCATTTATTAGCCCATAATATTGATACTACTTTTTATTTTCATTTTTTTTCTTTTTATTATTATAAACCTTTATTAACATTTAAAATCCAAAAGTACAAGTTAAAATACATCTATAACAAAAATACATCCGTAATAATTATACGATTCAATGTCATTCTGGCAGTACGCAATTCTTAACTTTGTTCATCTATTCCCGCATATTCCTACTTAATCGACATTTTGTATCTTATTTTATTCTATACATTCCTTATTTTTAATTTCTATCTATTGATACCAATTTTCCCAATTAAGTAGTATTCTGAATCTTCCTTAATATTTAGTTCTAAAGTAAGTTTGTTCATTTCTGCACTTTTGAAAATTTTCCAGATTATTGCATAGTCTGTTGGTATAGTAGACATTTTCCAGGCTTGCACAAGTACAATTCTTGCTGCTGTGGTTATATGAATAATTAAATATTTAATCCTTTTAGGGTAATTTCCTTTAATAATCCCTAGAAGAAACAGTTCAGGTTTCAATTCTATCTATTTATTTTCATTTTTTATTATTAAATTTTTATGCTGCCCATCTCTCCTGGAAGGTGACTCTAGCAGTTTACAGATTATATATATTTTTAATCAAGGTTTATAAATATCTCTAGTAACATCATTTAGAGCACATCTCACTTTTTAAAGGTGCTTATTACTAAAATCCTCTTATACTGTAAGGTTAGCTGGTATTCTCCTGCTGTACATTTAATATATTTCCAAAAACAAAAGGAAAGGAGCTAGTGAGGTTTGAAATATGCACATCATAATACTTGTACTGTGTATTGAATCGAAAGTACGGTGAAGATTTAATATATACATTTCAGCTCAATCCCCCGCCCCCTTTCTCCAGGGGGAGAAATTAAAGTCCTTTTTAGCCTTTGGTCTTTGTCCATCAGCATCTTTTAACCTCTGAAGATCTGCTTGCTACTTGTGCTGTTGCTAATAATTTGCAGTAGAGATTGCAATTCCCTAACGTTTTACTCAGAGGTGGGCTGTTGCCATTTCAGACTGGTTCGCCCGTATTGGTAGTTCCGACCACCGTGTGGGCCCACCCACCCGCCCTGGTGCTCTCCTGTCCTATATATTTCACTCTCTGGCTCACTCACCCCACCCACACAGCCCAGCTGATTTCTGCACCTTGCCCGTTCTACTCACCGCGACTGCCTGAGAAGGTGTGCTGGAAGCCACGTGCATGAAAATCGCCATGTGTTTGAAGCCACGCACAAAGCGTGGCTGTGCGCGCGCGCTCACATTTTCGGTTCTGCACTAGGTGAACCTAGTTGTTAAATTCTGTGCAGCCCACCTCTGGTTTTACTCTCTGTCCTTTGGAAGGGCATTGTCATGAGAAATGAATACTATACCTTGAACTATACTATGGCTGCTGATTTCCTTTTTTCTTGTTAATATTTCAACTTGGTAGATTGTGAGAAGTTTCAGCTCTGGTAAGAGAGAAGGTGGTGACTTTGTCTGCTGTGCCCTTTCTCCTCGAGGCGAGTGGATCTACTGTGTGGGTGAAGATTTTGTCCTCTACTGTTTCAGCACAGTGACTGGCAAGCTGGAGAGAACACTGACGGTGGGTAGCAGAGGGCGTCTTGGTGGCAACCTAGCAGCAGTTCTATATGCAGTAGAGACCAGATTTGGCTCCCTGGCCCGATAGACTTTTCCACCAAATCTAATATTTTCCCAGTTTACACTTAACAAAATTCCTGGCAGAGCAGGTTTCCTCCTCAAAGAATCACTGGTGAAGATTACAAAACTCTCCACCCTGTTTCCTGACTGCCACACCATTTTTTCCCAAACCCAAATATCTACCAGATGTATAGACTTCAACTTCAGAATCCTTTGGCCTGCTAACATGGCTGACATTTGAAGTCTTCAGATATGGGGAGTGTCTGGAATCCTGCTTTGTGGCTTCAGGACTTATATAGGATTTAAGACTATAGCCTTGCTCACTCAGGACTTAGTTCAACTTTAATTCAACATACAATCACCTATTGACTGTAAGTAAACCATAAACCATGTATTTAACAAACCCCAATGTTTCTCTAATCAAATCCAATGTAATCCGCAATCCCAAAGTCAACATTTAATTTTTCTCCTTTTCCTGTAGAAAGTCTAATAGGGATATCCAAGCCACAAGAAACAAGTAGTCAGGTGTTTTATTATTAAAACAGTAAATTTTGCGCTCTCAGCTAGTTCTACTAGTTTCAGAATCCATTCTTCCAGAAAACACTTATTTTTCTTGATTATTTTCTAAAAGTTTTTTTTTTCCTTTTAGGATACCTAAATATGGATGAGAAAATACCTCATCTGATCTTATATTCTGGAGATAATCATGTTTCTTCTTTCTTTCTGATGTTAAGGTTCATGAAAAGGATGTCATCGGTATTGCTCACCATCCCCATCAGAATTTGATTGCTACCTATAGTGAAGATGGGTTGTTGAAGCTGTGGAAACCATAGAACTGCATAAATTCCTTCAGCATATGGCTTCTGAATCCCTGGGAAGTGTGTACCATGTGCAGGGGATATGTTTCCAAAAAGATTCTAAAAAGGCTTGTTTTAATTTATACTGAATTTCATATTCAGATGTTTCAAGAGGAACCTTTAGCTATATATATCGCTAGTTGTGTATGCAAATTGAAAAATCAGTTCAATTTCTATAAATGTTCTTTTCATATGTTTCATTTCTGCTTCTTATGTGAATGACATTACTTCTACATATTTTTGGATTTTTTAAAAAATAAAATGAGATGAATTCTTTTAGTTAAGGGAAAAATGAAGAGCAAATACATGCAGTTTTACCGTTTAAAATGGCATGTTAAAAATTCTGGCAGTATTCATGGAAATGTAAAGCATATATTTAAACATTGTCTGTTGAAAGTTATGATCTTGCAGATTATGTTAACTTGGCTGAGTGAGACCCCTTGTTATTAAGGTAAATGCACCACTTAATGGGAATTTTGAGGGGCTGGGAATTCCTGCTCTGGTTAAATGTTAATTTCCCTCTCCTATTTAGAATATATAAATTGTCTTGAATAGGATAGAAACTAATTGCTATTGTTTTGTAGATTTTTTGATGTTCTGAAATATACTGAGTTTATGTTATAAGCTTCATCTTATTTTCAGAAAATAAGAAATAAGAAAATATTTTTTCCCTTGAAGAATTGCAATTTTGCTGTTCAAAATGGACATTTTGTTTCTAAATTTGTGCAATTTTTTTGTAGCTCCTTTTTTAAAAAAAACACCTGCCTGTTATACAATAAAATATTTCTTAAAGAGGCATCTGGCTTTGAACTTTTCTAACTTTTCTTTTAAAATAAGACCAAACTTGAAATTTTTCATGTTTATAAAGAAACTATACTACTTTCTGGACTGGGTGAAGAAACGGTTACTTACTGAGTTGCATCTGCAAATTAGTACTATTAAATGTATATCCATCTTTCCTATAATTATTCATTGGCATCAAGAGGAAATTAATCTTTTTTAATATTCTGGAGTAGGCTGCGGTGAGATTGACCCTGATGTCTAACTCCTTAACTATGACTAATCATTCTCTTTGCAAGCTATGGTAATTCATCCAGCCAATTAGGGGAGAGAGAGGGAGAGGGAGAGAATGCATGCTAAAGAATTAACTATAGTATGTGTTGTACTTGGTAGCATGATCTAGGACAGCTTTTCAGGTGGCTGGGTGTTTAAGGAATGGTAACACTTCAGTAGTGGCCAAAATTGTGGAAACCTTTTGGGAAAAGTGTATTTTTGAGGTTTCAGGCTAATAACACCACTTTATTTTGGAGTAGTACCATAAAATTATACTGTATATATCAATGGAAAGATAATTTAATCAAGAATGTAATGCTTTTCAACCTTTGTTTGAGAGATAAAAGTGGCTTTTTTCGTGAAATTCTGGATTTTAGACCAAATTCCTGCAATCTGCACCGAACAGTCCTTGCACTCAACTTCACATTGCATTGCGCCATTTCATCTTGTATACACCCAGATGATTTTCTTCTCTCACGTGGGCACAGTCTCTTCTTCTATCATCACTTGCTGTTGTACACCTTTTCCTGCCTTTACCAGTGTGGTTTTGTAGTGACTTGAGTCTCCGTATACTTCTTCAAAAACTTAGAAATGCCAGCTTTGGTTAAGTTTCCACCAATTTTTCTTCTAATTTCTTTATAACTGTAGCCTTGTTCACTCAATAATAAATACTATTTTACATCATTTTCTGGGCTATCAGTCAACTCTTTGAACCATTACTTTAATTTTATGTTTTATAAGCTCACTTAATGAAAGAACACAAAAAACCCAACCAACTTGATATGTTGTCCTCTCAGATTCAATACATGGCATCGATAACTGAACCCTACTGTGATCTGATTGGCTTATTGACAAAACAAGATGACACCTGATTGGCTCTCTGAATACTCATGCTCATTGGCTACAATCAGATGAAGGAAAGCTATCTAATATCAACCTAAGCACAACTGGTTATATGGCTATATCTTTTCATAGAATACAGATAATTGAACAAACTTTGTTGCATTACATTGATCAAATTCTTTTCATTGATATATAATTTCATGATACTACTGCAAACAAAGTGGTGTTATTAGCAATCAAATCTCAAAAATACTTTTCCCAAAAGGTTTCTACAATTTTGGCCACTATGTGCCCCAGACTTTTCCTTTTTCCATGTTCTAATCTCCTTTACAAAAGATGAGTTTGGGGAAACATTTCTGAGTTTGGGGAGGATTTATTATAAGAATGACAAAAGTTTGCTCTCATTTCCACTCTCCTCAAACACTGACCATCTCTTAACTGGAAAGACCCTCTATGGCCCTTACTACCTAAAATGTCCACCATGTGCCCAAGATTTTATCGTAGCTATTAAACCACAGCTGGCTGAATGCTTGTTTTTATTCTGTATTGCAGCATTGTACCCAAATGTGCAAGAACTATCTATAGCCACCTCATGAGCAGGCCATTACCCATAGAAAATTTTATTTATTTATTTATTTATTTATTTGATTTGATTTCTATAATGCCCTACTCCCGAAGGACTCAGGGCGGTGCACAGCCAAACAATAAAACACATACATACAAAATTTAAAAGTAGAATTAAAATCAAATTAAATAGTTTTGGCCCAGACAAATTAAAACCCCAAACTGTTTAAAACCAATTTTAAAATCTGAATATATAAAATACTAAAAGATATTAAAAAATTAAAAATCTTTTATAAAAGAGGGAGAAAATTAGGCCAGGCCCGCCTGGTAAAATAATAAGGTATTTAGAGCACGGTGGAAGGTACGCAGATCCGGGATCCTCTGTATCTCCGGGGGGAGCTTGTTCCAGATAGTAGGTGCCCCCACAGAGAAGGCTCTCCCCCTGGGGGCTGCCAGTCGGCATTGTTTGACCAACGGCACCCGGAGGAGCCCCTCTCTATGGGAGCGTACCGGCCGGTGGTAGTAGGCAGTCCCGCAAGTACCCAGGTCCTGAGCCATGGAGCGCTTTAAAGGTGGTAACCAAAACATTGAAGCGCACCTGGAAGACCACTGGGAGCCAATGCAGCTCGCGCAGGAGGGGTGTTATGTGGGAATGCCATGTCGCTCCCATTACCACCCGTGTGGCCGCACTCTGCGCCAGCTGGAGCCTCCGAGTGCTCCTCAAGGGGAGCCCATGTAGAGAGAGTTGCAATAGTCCAGGCGGGAGGTGACAAGGGCATGAGTGACGGTGCGTAACGAGTCCCAATCCAGAACGGGACGCAACTGGCGGATCAGGTGAACCTGATGAAAAATCCGCCCGGTCACGGCCGTCAAGTGCTCTTCTAAAGACAGCCGTGAATCCAGGAGGACACCCAAGTTGCGCGCCCTCTCTGTGGGGGTCAATGATTCGCCCCCAATAGTCAGTGATGGCACCAACTGACTATATCGGGACATCGGAAACCACAGCCACTCTGTCTTGGATGGGTTGAGCCTGAGCCTATTCCTCCCCATCCAGATCCGCACGGCCTCCAGGGACCAGGATATCACTTCAAGGGCATCGTTGGGGTGGTCGGGGGTGGAGATGTACAGCTGGGTGTCGTCATGGTCTACAGTGGTAAATAAAGCACCATACCTTTTACCAAGTATAGAAATTTGATTTTTAAAACAAATTCTGCTAAATGCAGTAGATAGTTAGCAAAACTGAATTGCAAACCTATTGAAGTTATCTAACATTTTTAAGATTACTTTTTTCATTTTACCTGAAATAGTTTGGTATGTTGTTTATTGGCATTAGAGAGATTTAATTTTTCAAACCAGTCTTCAGCTCATGTATTTTCCTCATGCAACTCAGGAGGCAGACCTGTGCTTTTCTGCTTCTAAGTAATCAATCTGCCAAACTTATTTCTTGTAACTGGCTTGAGTGGGATAAAGAAAGATGCCAAAGTGTATGAGCCTCAGGATCATCCCATTTAGCAACATGCCAAACTAGACCAAGGATTTTTTAAAAGGACATTTTCTTGACAAATGTATATTTGGAATGGATGGTTATATAGGCCAAAAAGGAAGAAGAGATGAAGCTGTTAGAAGGATAGTTTTATTTCCCCCTACAGGTACAAACTGAGTGTAAAGTACAATAATCAAGCATTTTAAAGACACATAATTCCACTGTAACTCATCCTTATCACAAGGACTAAAATAATTTGCTGTACAACTTAAATCCCTGCCAAGGATTTAAGATAGTCAATTTTTTTTTGCCAATTTAAGATTCTAATGGTGAGAGATTTGTTTTAAAATTACATATGGAACTGAAATGCTATTTTCTGCTATCCTATTTGCCCATATACAGATATATACATATAGCAGTTACGTAAATTTAGGGCTTATCATAAATGACAATGTTAGCAATTTAGTTGTTAGAAATAGCAGTCTTAGGTATATTTAAAAGAGGTACTTGAATTCTTTGCTAACCCTTCCCCCCATCATGATGCAATGCCTAATTATTATTTTGGATGAATTTATAGTAGGTTACTTATATTGACATTTTGAAATAGCCATTAAAAGGTAGCCTTTTTCAGAAACTACACACAAAAACCTTATGGACTGTTAACAGTTCATTAAGGAGTCATTTAGTGTTAATGGTTTTTTTTTTTTTGCTAGTATTCATGCAGCATGGAATTTGAATGTTAGTGACATGAAACTCAAAATGGATGTAGTTTTGTACCATTATTCTTAGGCATATTATTTTTCAGTTACACGATTACCTCTATAAAAATTATGTATTTGCTATTCAGAATCCTTTTTAAGATTTCAGCTTTTGTCCCATTTACACTTAGACGTTTGTTGAATTTTTTACTCCTACCCAAGAACCATGCCAGGATCCTGTCTAACATCAATGAGTTTTATACAGCATTCTAAGCAAAGCTCAGTAGAGAATGAAGGGTGTTCAACATTCCAGAATGGAAAATAAGTAGTCTCATACAGATGCTGTGCAAAGTCTCAACCAGCCATAGCACATCCAAAACACATCAATGTATCTAGATGAATACAAAAATTTAATTTCACATCTTTAACATGAATCATAAATACAGATGCATACATAAGAGGGAATATAATTTATAATACTAAACAGAAATCACTGAATACTAAGCCAGTGCATTTGCACACAATACACTTATGATGCACAAAATAAAATAAGCCAGAGTAAAGTGGCTTCAGGTTTCCTTAGGAGGCCATATAGAAATATGAACATTCCAACTTGATCCAAGTAGTTTTACCGATTTCAATTTGTTAACTTGATTTAAAAACAACTAAGTTTAAATATTACAGAGACAATAGCAATTCTGAATATAGCAACTTCAGTCCTTCACTCATCCACAACTGACATACAGGACAAGCAGCACAAGTGTAACTGTGAGACCAGCTTAAGAAGTCTGGCATTGGACACCACCTCTAGGGTGGTGCTCATCATCTTCATATGCTTCACCATTGTAATGCTGTCTTCTTTCCTGAGATGGGTCAAAGTCTACCAACTCTACTTGATCCATGTCTTCGGTTTCTTCCACTTCTTGCCTTGGCGGTAGCAGTTTTTCCAACAGACATAGCTTATCTGAGCAAAGGAAACCACTTTCTGGAAATATCACCTGAAAATTAGAAAAAAATATGAATGCCTCTCATAAATATACTTTTAAATATGAAATAAGTGTCTGAATGTTAACATAAAAGATACATTTGCTTGATTTGTATAACTAACACCAATTATTTAAGAAATCAGCATTATAAGGCAGCATTGCCTAAAAT